TTACCTTAAAATACTCGAACAACAAAAAAGGAAGCATATATGGAAAAAAGAGTTACTAAATTTAGGTAAAAGTTGTTTTTATTATACCAGTTTCTCTGTTTCTCTGTATTTAAAAAAAAGATAAAAAATAAATAAAAATCACTCGATTACTTAAACACTACACAAATAACAAAAACATACAAATTGTTCTTGAACACAGAGGACAGAAGAGGGAAATTTTCCAAATTTGTTATATAAAGCCAACATTATGTTGACATAATATGGAATTTATAAATCAGTTGTATTAATAATTGTTATGCTGAAAGCCTAAATAAAACATTAACAGGTAAAATCAAGTTTGACAGAGTAATGTAACATAATCATGCCTACATTCCTAGAATGAACTGTTTTTGGAATTCATCTGTGAAACTGTTTATGCCTGGCACCTTTTGGGAAAGTAGCTCTTTGATAAGATTTTCAGTTTCTTCCAGAATTATTGGCCTCAAATCAAAAGCTGTTAATCATGCTTGATGATGAAGCACTAGTGTATTCCCATTATAGATAGAGACAGGATAAGGAAATTCACTATTGCTGTTATTATTTACCACTATTCTGGAAGTCAGTCAAATAGACAAACAGAAGAAGCTAAAATACATAAATATTGGAGAGGAGGCAAAATAGTCATGATTTATACCTTGAAAACCCAAGAAAATTAACTGAAAAAGAATTAGAAACTATAGTAGAGTTTAGTTAGGTCGTTAGTTACGGAACTTACATACTAAAAATCATAGTTTAATGTATTCAACAAAATTTTTTTTTTCAGGCAAGTCACTTTATTTATTTATTTACATATACATGTATCTATTCTTTTTCAAATTCTTTTCCCACTTAGGTTGTTACAGAAAAAATATTTCAATGCCCTTACAAGCAATAGCTTTTAGAAAATGTAGTGAAAGAAAAGATCACATTTGCTATAACCATCAAAAAAAAAAAAAAAAATACCTAGGGAAAAAACCAAGAAGAAATCTGCCAGGTCTGTTTTAAGAAAACTTTAAAACTATACTCCTGTAGGAGTATGGGCGTGAAAGAAAAAAAAAAAAAATCAGAAGACACATTTCATTCTTGGATTGGAAGGTTCAGTATTACAAACGATAAAAGTTTTTCCAAAATTAGTCCATAAATTCATTATATTCCCAATCAAAATAACAGCCAAATTCTCTTTTGGAACTTGACGAAAGTAATCAGAAGTTCTTCTGGAAAAATTTATGAGAATTGCCAGGAAAAACTGAAGAGGTTTGAGTGTGAATAGATCCAACAGATTTTAAATGTATTAAAGAGCCATAGTAATCCAGACAATGTGACAGTTGGGACTAAAATTCAGATCTTTAGAATCCGGGCTCTAGCACATTTTTTTTTTTTTAACCTTGAATTTGGAAATAATTTCAAATTTGTAAAAAGTTGCAAAAATAGAGTACAAAGAATATTCATATACTCTTTACCCATTCACCTATTGTTGACATATACCTTATCGTTCAGCACTCTATTTTTATTTATTTATTTTTTAAAAAAATATTTATTTATTTTGGCTGCTCTGGGTCTTAGTTGTGGCATTTGGGATCTTTAGGTGCGGCATGCAGACTCTTAGTTGTGGCATGCGTTCAGGATCTAGTTCCCCAACCAGGAATCGAACCCGGGCCCCCTGCATTGGGAGTGCAGAGTCTTACCCTTTGGACCACAGGGAAGTCCCTCAGCCCTCTATTTTTAGATTGCCTCTTCTCTCTTACTCATTTATTTGTCCTGATTCCAAATGATTATTCCTTCATTTGACAAATTAAAAATTTGCTTGATTAAATATCACCAGATGTCCCTTTCTATTCATTCTCTTGTTTCTGTTTTATTTTGTTTTGTTTTTTTAAATAAATTTATATATTTATTTTTGGCTGCATTGGGTCCTCATTGCTGCACACAGGCTTTCTCTTGTTGGGGCGAGGAGGGGCTACTCTTCGTTGTGGTGTGTGGGCTTCTCATTGGGGTGGCTTGTCTCTGTTGCAGAGCACAGGCTCTAGGTGCGCAGGCTTCAGTAGTTGTGGCTCACAGGCTCTAGAGCGCAGGCTCAGTAGTTGTGGCACACAGGCTTAGTTGCTCCATGGCATGGGGGATCTTCCTGGACCAGGGCTCGAACCTGTGTCCCCTGCATTGGCAGGCGAATTCTTAACCACTGTACCACCAGGGAAGTCCCTCTTGTTTCTGTTTTAAGAACCCTTTTCATTCTGATTATTTCCATTTCCTCCTCCGATATTTTTTAAAGGGTATTGGAATATTTTAGCATATAGTCAGAGGGCTTTGTGGCTTGATTTTTATATCCTCTTCATTCCATAACCATTCTAGAAAACTGTTTTTGTACTGTTTTAAGTAGCTGAAGAATCCCTGGGAGTTAAATTGCTCATTGAGTTTACAAAACTAGCCTCCCTCTGCCTACATCATGGTATTCCAGTCTGTTGGTGGTTTTCCTGAGTCATATGGCCTCAGTACACTGAATTTAGTCCTGAACTAACCTGATCTTCTTGGATTTCTTTGGATTTATAATTAGATTCCAAAGGTAGTTGGTCATTCAGTCTTATTCTGAAGGTAAATCTGGATATTCTGCAATGACTCTAGATCTGATTCATGATCTAGATGTGAGAGAAGGACACTTATGGCTAGCATATAACTAATCAGTTGCCACCCAACAGTCCTTTGTACTTTGCATTTGTTTCATCTCTGCTTTGGTGAATGTGAAATCCATACTCTGCCAGGCATGTGGCATTGTGCCAACCGTAATAGGGATTTACCAAATGTAATTAGACCTGGCTGATACTAATCAGCCCATCATCCAGCATTTGGCAGTATCTCTTAAAGTGTATTTAAGAGAAGTTTCTTTCTAGTCCTGCAGTACATTTCTGGGTTAATTATTAAGGTTTTTTAAAATCTATTTTGATTATCACCCTTTTGTTCCCTCTAATGGACCTTCTTATTTTCTAAGCTATAAATGATTTATTTAAAAGTTTCTTTTGTACTTGGACTTCCCTGGTGGCACAGTGGTTAAGAATCTGCCTGCCAGTGCAGGGGACATGGGTTCTATCCCTGGTCCAGGAATATCCCACATGTCCTGGAACAGCTAAGCCTGTGCACCAGAACTACTGAGCCTGCGCTCTGGAGCCCGTGAGCCACAACTACTGAGCCTACGCTCCGCAATTACTCAAGCCCGCGTGCTCTAGGGCCCGTGCTCCGCAACAAGAGAAGCCACCCCAGTGAGAAGCCCACGTGCTGCAATGAAGAGTAGCCCCTGCTCGCCGCAACTAGAGAAATCCCGTGTGCAGCAACGAAGACCCAACACAGCCAAAAAATAAAAAAATAAAAAGTTTCTTCTGTACTTACCAGACTTCTTCGGAAGAACTTAGCGTCTGATTGATACAGTATGGAAGTAATGAGTAGATTCTCTTAACTCTTTAATTCAGACTACTTTTCTGAGGAATTGAAAGGAAATATTGAGCTAAAAAAGATAAGAAATAGGAACATAGTGGATTAATATTGCTCTTCGTACCTTTGGCACTCTATTTTCTCTCTCTCTAGCAAAAGCTTCTGAGCAAAATCTCCCGAGGAAAGGTGACATATTGAGGAGATGGTAGAAATTAAAATAATAAAGCATTGGGGAGTGAGAAAGAATAGGTGCAAAAGAATAAATGTGTAGGTTAATGTTTTGGTCACCACAGAATAAAATACAGTTCATTAGTACGGTCTATAGCAGGTAGGTTAAAATTGAATATTAAAAGTCTTGTACTGAATTTCTAGTGGATTTTATGTGTGTGTGTGTGTGTGTGTGTGTGTGTGTGTGTCTTAAAGAGCTACTATGTTTCTTTTCCTGCTTACTACTTTGTTTAAACATCTTATTGGGCTGTAACTTGCATAATGTATTAAAAAATTCACCCATTTAAAGTATAACTTTAGTGCTTTTTTTAACATGTACTTCATTCTTTTTTTTAGGACCAAATAATATTCCATTGTATGGATTACATACCATTTTATTTATCCATTCATCAGTTTATGGAAATTTAGGTCGTTTCCACTTTCTGGCTATTATGAGTAATGCTGCTACAAATATTTGTGTGCAGGTTTTTGTGCAGATATATGTTTTCATTCTTCTTGGATAGATATCTAGGAGTAGAATTGCTGGGTCATATGGTAACTATACTTAACATTTTGAGCATCTCTCAGACTGTTTTCCAAATTGAACCATTTTACATTTCCACCAGCAGTGTATAGGGTTCAAATTTCTCCACATTCTGGCCAATACTTATTGTTATCTCCCTTTTTGATTATAGACACCTTAGCAAGTATGAAGAGGTATCTCATTGTGGTTTAGATTTGCATTTCCATAATGGTTTATGAAATAGAGCATTTAAATGTGTATTTTTTTAGCTAATTGGTTTGAAGAAGCCTTTTATTAAGGAAGTGGTATTTTGTAATGAAATTAACATTTTCCCCCCCCATGGGAGTCAAAAGCCCAGATTTTAGTCTTGCTTTTTATATCTGTTTAGAGGTCCTTTGACCTTGGATGAGACCTTTATCTTTTAAATGCCTTTAATTTTCTGCCTTAACAGAGTGGCTATAAGGATCAGTTGAAATAAATTAGTGAGAAAAGTTTTTGTCAGCTGGAGGGGATAACCACACCCTATAACTCATTGTTCTCTGATGGTGTAATTATTCAGGCAGGGAAGAACATTCATAATGAAGAGCATCATAAAGGAGACCTCTGTGGTTTTGCCTTCTTGCTTTTCTGTCATCTGTAGCACCAACTTGGCCACAAGGAGTTAAGCTAAACCGATGTGAATAGCAGACTCTTGAGTTGAAGTTAAATTCGTTCCTGGAGGATGGTGTAAATGAACTCATTGAAATTATTGCTATAAATTAATAACATTATCTTTCTCATCCACTTACTTGGATACAACATTGGTAGTATGTTTTTCTATACTTTCTTGCAGAACTTACGCTGTCCGTTGAATGAAGAGGTAATTGCCCAAGCCAGGAAAATATTCCCTTCAGTGATAAAATACATTGTAGAAATGACAGTATGGGAAGAGGAAAAAGAACTGCCTCCTCAACTCCAGATAAGGTGGGGGATTTTTTAAAAGGGAGAAGTTTTCATGATGGTTATTTATATTGCAAAATGGATGTTTGAAAAATGCCTTTGTTGTTATTTACTGCTTTAACTTAACTATCATTATGAAGATTTTATAGAGAATTGCCTCCTTGGAATACTTCTAAAATGCCCATTTATATGAGATGGTCTCTTAAGACACTATGCAGAAGTTAAGCCAAAGGAAGAGCCTAATCAGGAGCTTCAGATTTTTAAGAAAACACATTTTGGGGGTCTTGTTCTAAATGATTTACGAGGTCCTAGCAGCCATTCATCCCAGTAGGGAGTAAATTGCCCAGTGTGATACTGGCCTGGACCAACTTGCAGGTTCTCCGAGTGGTTTGTGAACAAAGATGGGGACTTCGGAATACTGTGTCTCCCTTTAGTCCAAGTCTTTAGCTCTTTTCTTGATCAAAAATTTTGATGGGGACCACATTCACAGAAAAACAAACGAGATGAAAAGGCAGAGGGCTATGTACCAGATGAAGGAACAAGATAAAACCCCAGAAAAACAACTAAATGAAGTGGAGATAAGCAATCTTCCAGAAAAAGAATTCAGAATAATAATAGTGAAAGTGATCCAGGACCTCGGTAAAAGAATGGAGGCAAAGATCGAGAAGATGCAAGAAATGTTTAATAAAGACCTAGAAGAAATAAAGAACAAATAAAAAGAGATGAACAATACAATAACTGAAATGAAAACTACACTAGAAGGAATCAGTAACAGAATAACTGAGGCAGAAGAACAGATAAGTGACCTGGAACACAGAATGGTGGAATTCACTGCTGCGGAACAGAATAAAGAAAAAAGAATGAAAAGAAATGAAGACAGCCAAAGAGACCTCTGGGACAACATTAAACACAACAACATGCACATTATAGAGGTCGCAGAAGGAGAAGAGAGAGAGAAAGGACCCGAGAAAATATTTGAAGTCGAAATATTTGAAAGTCGAAAACTTCCCTAACATGGGAAAGGAAAGCCACCCAAATCCAGGAAAGGCAGAGACTCCCATACAGGATAAACCCAAGGAGAAACACACCGAGACACATAGTAATCAAATTGGCAAAAATTAAAATAAAAGAAAAATTATTGGAAGCAGCAAGGGAAAAACGACAAATAACATACAAGGGAACTCCTATAAGGTTAACAGCTGATTTCTCAGCAGAAACTCTACAAGCCAGAAGGGAGTGGCATGATATACTTAAAGTGATGAAGGGGAAGAACCTACAACCAAGATTACTCTACCCTGCAAGGATCTCATTCAGATTCGATGGAGAAATCAAAAGCTTTACAGACAAGCAAAAGCTAAGAGAATTCAGCACCACCAAACCAGCTCTACAACAAATGCTAAAGGAACTTCTCTAAGTGGGAAACACAAGAGAAGAAAAGGACCTACAAAAACAAACCCAAAACAACTAAGAAAATGGTCATAGGAAAATGCATATCGATAATTATCTTAAATGTGAATGGATTAAATGCTACAACCAAAAGACACAGGCTCACTGAATGGATACAAAAACAAGACCCGTACATATGCTGTCTACAAGAACCCACTTCAGACCTAGGGACACATACAGACTGAAAGTGAGGGGATGGAAAAAGATATTTCATGCAAATAGAAATCAAAAGAAAGCTGGAGTAGCAATACTCATATCAGATAAAATAGACTTTAAAATAAAGAATGTTACAAGAGACAAGGAAAACCACTACATAATGATCAAGGGATCACTCCAAGAAGATATAACAATTATAAATATATATGCATCCAACATAGGAGCACCTCAATACAGAAGGCAAGGGCTAACAGCTATAAAAGAGGAAATCGACAGTAACACAATAATAGTGGGGGACTTTAACACCTCATTAACACCAATGGACAGACCATTCAAACAGAAAATTAATAAGGAAACAGAAGCTTTAAATGACACAACAGACCAGATAGTTTTAATTGACATTTATAGGACAATCCATCCAGAAACCGCACATTACACTTTCTTCTCAAGTGCACATGGAACATTCTCCAGGATAGATCACATCTTGGGTCACAAATCAAGCCTAAATAAATTTAAGAAAATTGAAATCATATCAGGCACCTTTTCTGACCACAATGCTATGAGATTAGAAATCAGTTACAGGGGAATAAAACGTAAAAACCACAAACACATGGAGGCTAAACACTACATTACTAAATAACCAAGAGATCACTGAGGAAATCAAAGAGGAAATCAAAAAATACCTAGAGACAAATGACAATGAAAACACGACGATCCAAAACCTATGGGAGGCAGCAAAAGCAGTTCTAAGAGGGAAGTTTATAGCTATACAAGCCTACCTCAAGAAACAAGTAACAATCTAACATTACACCTAAAGGAGTAGAGAAAGAACAAACAAAATCCAAAGTTAGCAGAAGGAAAGAAATCATAAAGATCAGATCCGAAATAAATGAAATAGAAACAAAGAAAACAATAGCAAACATCAATAGAACTAAAAGCTGGTTCTTTGAGAAGATAAACAAAATTGATAAACCATTAGCCAGACTCATCAAGAAAAAAAGGGAGAGGACTCAAATCAATAAAATTAGAAATGAAAAAGGAGAAATCACAACTGACATGGCAGAAATACAAAGGATTATAAGAGATGACTACAAACAACTATGCCAATAAAATGGACAACCTAGAAGAAATGGACAAATTCTTAGAAAGGTATAACCTTCCAAGACTTGAACCAGGAAGAAATAGAAAATATGAACAGACCAATCACAAGTAATGAAGTTGAAACTGTGATTAAACGTCTTCCAACAAACAAACGTCCAGGACCAGATGGCTTCACATGTGAATTTTGTCAAACATTTAGAGAAGAGCTAACACCCATCCTTCTCAAACTCTTCCAAAAAATTGCAGAGGAAGGAACACTCCTAACCTCATTCTGTGAGGCCACCATCACCCTGATACCAAAACCAGACAAAGATACTACAAAAAAAGAAAATTATAGACCAATATCACTGATGAATATAGATGCAAAAATCCTCAACAAAATACTAGCAAACAGAATCCAACAACACATAAAACGGATCATACACCATGATCAAGTGGGATTTATCCCAGGTTTGCAAGGATTCTTCAGTATACGCAAATCAATCAGTGTGATACACCATATTAACAAATGGAAGAAGAAAACCCATATGATCATCTCAATAGATGCAGAAAAAGCTTTGGACAAAATTCAACAACTGTTTATGATAAAAACTCTCCAGAAAGTGGGCATAGAGGGAACCTACCTCAACATAATAAAGGCCATATATGACAAACCCACAGCAAACATCATTCTCAATGGTGAAAAACTGAAAACATTTCCTCTAAGATCAGGAACAAGACAAGGATGTCCACTCTCACCACTATTATTCAACATTGTTTTGGAGGTCCTAGCCATGGCAATCAGAGAAGAAAAATAAATAAAAGGAATACAAATTGGAAAAGAAGAAGTAAAACTGTCACTGTTTTCAGATGACATGATAGTATACATAGAGAAGCCTAAAGATGCCACCAGAAAACTATTAGAGCTAATTAATGTCTTGGGTAAAGTTGCAGGATACAACATTAATGCACAGAAATCTCTTGCATTCCTATACACATCATCCTATACAATGATTTTTCATCATTCCTTCAGATGATGAAAAATCTGAAAGAGAAATTAAGGAAACACTCCCATTTACAATTGCAACAAAAAGAATAGAATACCTAGGAATAAACCGACCTAGGGAGACAAAAGACCTGTATGCAGAAAACTATAAGGCACTGTTGAAAGAAATTAAAGATGATACCAACAGGTAGAGAGATATTCCATGTTCTTGAATTGGAAGAATCAATACTGTGAAAATGACTATACTACCCAAAGCAATCTACAGATTCAATGCAATCCCTATCAAATTACCAGTGGCAATTTTTACAGAGCTAGAACAAAAAACCTTAAATTTTGTATGGAGACACAGAAGACCCCAAATAACCAAAGCAGTCTTGAGGGAAGAAAGCAGAGCTGGAGGAATCAGACTCCCTGACTTCAGACTAGACTACAAAGCTACAGTAATCAAGACAATAAGGTACTGGCACAAAAACAGAAACATAGATCAATGGAACAGGATAGAAAGCCCAGAGATAAACCCATGCACCTATGGTCAACTAATCTATGACAAAGGAGGCAAGGATATACAATGGAGAAAAGAGTCTCTTCAATAAGTTGTACTGGGAAAACTGGACAGCTACATGTAAAAGAATGAAATTAGAACACTCCCTAACACCATACACAAGAATAAACTCAAAATGGATTAGAGACCTAAATATAAGACTGGACACTATAAAACTCTTAGAGGAAAACATAGGAAGAACACTCTTTGGCGTAAATCACAGCGAGATCTTTTTTGATCCACCTCCTAGAGTAATGGAAATAAAAACAAAAATAAACAAATGGGACCTAATGAAACTTAAAAGCTTTTGCAAAGCAAAGGAAACTACACACAAGTCGAAAAGACAACCCTCAGAATGGGAAAACATACTCATAGACGAATCAACAGACAAAGGATTAATCTCCAAAATATATAAACAGCTCATGCAGCTAAATATTAAAAAAACAAACAACCCAATCAAAAAATGGGCAGAAGGGCTTCCCTGGTGGCGCAGTGATTGAGAGTCCACCTACCGATGCAGGGGACACGGGTTCATGCCCCGGTCTGGGAGGATCCCATATGCCACGGAGCGGCTGGGCCTGTGGGCCATGGTCGCTGAGCCTGCGCGTCCGGAGCCTGTGCTCTGCAACGGGAGAGGCCGCAGCAGTGAGAGGCCCGTGTACCGCAAAAAAAAAAAAAAAAAATGTGCAGAAGACCTAAATAGACATTTCTCCAAAGAGGACATACAGATGGCTAAGAAGCACATGAAAAGCTGCTCAACATCACTAATTATTAGAGAAATGCAAATCAAAACTACAGTGAGGTATCACCTCACACCAGTCAGAATGGGCATCATCAGAAAATCTACAAACAACAAATGCTGGAGAGGGTGTGGAGAAAAGGGGGCCCTCTTGCACTGTTGGCGGGAATGTAAATTGATACAGCCACTATGGAGAACAGTATGGAGGTTCCTTAAAAAACTAAAAATAGAATTACCATATTACCCAGCAATCCCAGTACTGGGCATATACCCAGAGAAAACCATAATTCAAAAAGACACATGCACCCCAGTGTTCAGTGCTGCACTATTTACAGTAGCCAGGTTATGGAAGCAACCTAATGCCCATCGACAGACGAATGGATAAAGAAGATGTGGTACCTATATGCAGTGGAATATTAGCCATAAAAAGGAACGAAATTGGGTCATTTGTAGAGACGTGGGTGAATCAAGAGACTGTCATACAGCGTGAAGTAAGTCAGAAAGAGAAAAACAAGTATTGTATATTAACGCATATCTGTGGAACCTAGAAAAATGATAGAGGTGAACCGGTTTGCAGGGCAAAAATAGAGACACAGATGTAGAGAACAAACGTATGGACACCAAGGGGGGAAAGCAGCTGGGAGTGGCGGGGGGTGGTGGTGTGATGAATTGGAAGATTGGGATTTACATGTATACACTGTTGTATATAAAATGGATGACTAATAAGAACCTGCTGTATAAAAAAATAAATAAAATTAAATTTAAAAAAAAAGAAAAGAAAAAAGAAAAAGAAAAAATTTTTTTTTTTTTGCGGTACGCGGGCCTCTCACTGCTGTGGCCTCTCCCATTGTGGAGCACAGGCTCCGGACGCGCAGGCCCAGCGGCCATGGCCCACGGGCCCAGCTGCTCCACGGCATGTGGGATCTTCCCGGACTGGGGCACGAACCCGTGTCCCCTGCATCAGCAGGCGGACTCTCAACCACTTTGCCACCAGGGAAGCCCCAACAGTTTTTTTTTTTTAAGTTTATTATTTATTTTTGTCTGTATTGGGTCTTCGTTGCTGCCCACGGGCTTTCTCCAGTTGCGGTGAGCAGGGGCTGCTCTTCCTTGAGGTGCATGGGGGCTGTTCTTCATTGTGGTGCGTGGGCTTCTCATTGCGGTGGCTTGTCTTTGTTGTGGAGCACAGACTCTAGACGCATGGGCTGCAGTAGTTGTGGCTTGCAGGCTCCGTAGTTGTGGCTCGTGGGTTCCAGAGCGCAGCCTCAGTAGTTGTGGCACACGGGCTTAGTTGCTCTGCGGCATGTGGGATTTTCCCGGACCAGGGCTCGAACCTGTGTCCTCTGCATTGGCAGGCGGATTCTTAACCACTGCGCCACAAGAGAATTCCCTTAACAGTATTTTTTAGCTAAAACCCAGCTATTTCTAACAACCATAAGTCTTTTAGTGACAGTAATATTTGCTCTTAATTTACAAATGCAAAAGAGAATTCTAGACCTGATATGAAATACAGTTTGGGGCTTGTAGGAATTTTTCTACCTGAGTAATATTAGGAGTTTCACAAACCTAAATACAGCTTTTTTAGTTTATTGGGTGTATTTATATTATTCTATGAGAGAGAATTAAAATTTTCAATTTTTAAAAACATTAAATGTATTGTTTTGACTTTTGCTGGGCCATAAACTGTTTGGAAAAATAACATTCATCAGAGATTGTGTCCACAAAGGTTTTAATTTCAGATATGTTGATAGCATCAGTTAAATGCTTTAAGAAACTGTGTTGGTAAATATAATACTAGCAATATGCCTGTCTAAAAAGGGTGGGTTGCTTGAGTGTGGTCATGTATGTAGACTGCACTGGACTTCAAATCACAGATCTGAGTTCTAATTCTCACTGCTTATTGGCTTTGGGACCATAGAGAAGTCTTTTTGAGCCTCTATTTCCTAAGGTATAAGAGGCCTGAGAAAAGCTGCCTATTAGAGTTATGAGGATCAATTGAGTATTTAGTGAAAGGTTATTATAAACTGTTTAAAACTGATAATAACTTCTGACATTTGTGTAGCCCATGACAGCCATTTTCATGTATTTTATAAGATCCTCACACCACTCTCAAATGTAGATATTATACTCCTCTTAGAGGTGGAAAAGATACTGTCATCTCAGCAAGATTAAATGCTTAAGTGATTTGTCTAAGGCCTCTCAGTCAAATGGTAGTTCTGGCACTTTAAAACTGTATACCTTTTTTAAAAAAACTTAAATGTGCTATAAAACCAGTATCACTTAAAATAAATAGAAGGTAAAAACAAAAATAAGTTAAATAAAAACTAAATGTTAATAAAATCTGTCTGTCGTTGCCTGCTTGAAGGTTCTGAGCCTGAGACCTGTCTCCTTTTGTCAAAGTGAGAGATTAGCAAGATTTAAGAATGGTGTTAAAGACATACTGCCACTTACTGAGAATAATATTTTAATTCTGAAAGTTAGAAAAATTGGGGGACAAACATGGAAAAGGTAATACTTTTGTCAGGGTTTTTAAATTTTATGGCACCGTACCACTTAAAATCACCTCCTATACTAGTATTACAGAAGTACTTTCCCGTACGTAGGAAACTACATGGTGCTGCTTCGTCACATGGCATATATTATTTTAGCCTGTATTTCGTGTTTTCCTTTGTTTATTTGTTGCAGTGTCTGAATATATATCTTTTTTTTTAAACAGAGAGAAAAATGATAGCTACTACTGTGTCCTTTTCAATGATGAACACCATTCATATGACCATGTCATATACAGTCTACAAAGAGCTCTTGACTGTGAGCTCGCAGAGGCACAGTTGCACACCACTGCCATAGACAAAGAGGTTCGTGAGTGTCATTTGAATTATTATGCTGTCTTCATCAGCTTCCTGGAAATTGGGTGTTGACTGGACCTTGCCAAGTGCCTTAGTATTGTGTTAGGTACAACCATCCTCTTCATTTATTCTTTATAGCCTAAGTAAATTGGTTGAAACTTGATTTTTCTGTGTGTGTTTAACAGTTTAAGATGACTAATTTTCCTCTTTTGTTCTAAATAATTAGAAAGTTACTGAATATACTGGCAAAGAGTAGTTAAGAATGTCAGCTCGGGCTTCCCTGGTGGCGCAGTGGTTGAGAGTCCACCTGCCGATGCAGGGGACGTGGGTTCGTGCCCCGGTCCGGGAAGATCCTACATACCGCGGAGCGGCTGGGCCCGTGAGCCATGGCCGCTGAGCCTGTGCCTCCGGAGCCTGTGCATCCAGAGCCTGTGGTCCGCAACGGGAGCGGCCACAACAGTGAGAGGTCCGCGTACCGCAAAAAAAAAAAGAATGTCAGCTCAACCTCAGTCTGTTTCTATAATTATTGAATGGATGAGTAAATGCATGAATTATGAGAAGTTGGTTAGTTAACATCATCTATTAAAACTATTTTTAGACTAATATTGATAGCATGGCTCAGCTTTTATTTAACACCCATCCAAAGCAAAATGTGTTCTTCAGGTATGCAGAAGGAACATTAACCTAATCCCTACCCTCAAGAGGAGTAAGATGGTAGAAGAAACATCATGGCACTAGTAATTAGCATTGTGATTCTAGGGCTTGAGGAATCAATATCCTGGCCATACCTCTAACCCACTAGTGGACCACAAGTGTGTTATGGAACACATGATGAAGAATTTTAAGTTTACTCATGAAAACTATCTAAGACATTTAATAGTTTAGTAAACCTAACTTACTATTATCTGATAGAAATAGAATATACTACAATAAGTAAATAATTGACATTCTTGCCAAGCAGGAAATCTAGAATCCTAAAGTATAGAAACTCTCCACTAGTGGTATTGAAAGTTCTGAAGCTACATAAAGCTGCTAAACATTTATGTTTATCTTCTAGGTATTGTCAATCTTAGGACTTTTAGGCAGTCAACAAATGATTGATAATTAAGAGCTTATTGGGTCTTGGGCTTTATATTACTTATTGATTGGGATTGTCAATCTACTACCTAATTCTCATGTTTGTCTATAATTAGGGCCGTCGGGCTGTTAAAGCAGGTGCTTTTGCTGCTTGCCAGGAAGCAAAGGAAGATATAAAGGTAATTTTCTGAATTAGAGTGAAAAAGAGAATTTTAAGAGGAATGCACATTACAAGAGCCCAAGTAAAACAATTAAATTGTTGAAGTGGTTTGACATCCTAAGTAAAGATAAGATTGGAGCATTTAGACCCAGAGATTTGGAACTGCAACAGTTATATGATTTCTTTTTTTGAAGAGTAGATTACTTAGTTAAAACAAAAATTTTAAAACTAGTTTGTTTTTAATATTCCTTTCATTTCTAGAGTCATTCAGAAAATGTCTCTCAACATCCACTTCATGTGGAAGTATTACACTCTGAGGTTATGGCTCATCAGAAATTTGCTTTGCGTCTGGGGTCCTGGATGAATAAAATTATGAGCTATTCAAGTAAGCATATAGCCTATTTTTCTTATTTTCCATAAACTATTGTCTTTTTAAATAACCACAAATTTTTAAATGTCATTGAGTATAAAATAAAATGGTTTTGTTTTTTTTTTATACATTTTGCTTATTTTCAGGATTGCATTTCAGATGCTGTGAATAATGTTCCATTGGCTCTTGATTCTTTGATATTGACAGAATAATTCTTGATATCAAATGTGGGATGATTACTGTTAGTTTTTTCATATGTTATTATAGGAAATGTACTTTTGGGAGAAAATACTTTAAGAATAAAAATTATATGACTTTTTTTGTTTGTAGGTGACTTCAGACAGATCTTTTGCCAAGCATGCCTTAGAGAAGAACCTGGCTCTGAGAATCCCTGTCTCATAAGCAGGTTAATGCTTTGGGATGCAAAGCTTTATAAAGGTAGGTAGATCTTTACTTGTGCTTCTTGCCATGAAGCAGAGGAATATTATGACCTTAAAGTGGAGTTTAATCTCTTTTGTTTATTAAATCCGTGAACTTGATAAGATATTATACTTTGAAGGTGAGGTTAACCAATCAATATGTATTCTGTGTTAAAACCCAGGGATATTGCCTTTTAATTATAGTGCCTTTTCATTTAGTCAGAACCAGTAAAAAGAGTATGTATGCATTCATGCAGTAGTGCCATTATAAAAGCTATGTTAATTTTCATTTTTAAAATTTAAGTGAAGAACCAAAAGTAAAAGGTGAGAGAAAGGTTAAAGGGGATGGAGAAGGGAAGGTACAGAGGAAGAGTAGTCTTTAGTGAAACAGAATGAAAAGGAATGGAGAAAGGTGGGAGAAGTAGGATGAAGTAAGGTACAGGAGTGAGAGGGGTATAGAAAAAGAGGGGAAAGGCATTACATGTATGTATTTTAAATTCTAGCTATTAAATATTAATGCAATAAATGCCACTAACATTTGAGTCCTTGAGGTCTATTAGCATGTGAAATATTTTTATAATATTCTGCCACTACTAATAGCTGGAATTTTTTTTTGCCTTGGTGATACTCCTCCCACCTCCCCAAAAAATGATGTATAGGTGCCCGTAAGATCCTTCACGAATTGATCTTCAGCAGTTTTTTTATGGAGATGGAATACAAAAAATTCTTTGCTATGGAATTTGTGAAGGTAATTGTTCTTTATAAATAGATATCAACAAATAGAAATAGAAAACCATTTTTGTAAGTGAAATAATGGAAACAAAGGGGATAATTATGAAGCAAGAATTTAATTTTATAGTTCATTTCTCTGTCAAAAAGTTCATTTATTTTCACGTTTGGTAGTATGGAAACAGTAGTCTGAGAGAGGAGATAGGTGGAAAATGACCTATTGCTTGCCTAGAAAAAGCAGTAGGAAGTTATCACATTCGTGAACACATTTATCTTTTCTAATCATTTGTCTGTTAGTAAAATTATAACAAGAGCAGTGACTAGCTGAAAGGCATAGCAGGGAAAAGGAACAGATCTACATGCTAAAAGGAGGCAGATATCTGATGGGCAAGAGTTATACTTAACTATTTGAGGCTAGAATATAAAGATAAATCTTATAGCTTTTTAATATTGTTTTATTGATCTATTGTATATCCCTTATATTGTTATATTTTTTATCTCTCTCTCTCTTTCAAGTTAGACTAGTTAGAACATGTACTTCTTTAACCTTCTGCTTTGCCTTATACAGAGGTATCCAGTAAATACTTGTTAGTTTACTCTGATTTTGAGTGGCAGGAAATTCTATAAAACTTAGCACAGAGGTAGACCCAGGATGGAATTGGAAGCAGAGAGTGAAATAATGATTGTCATAGGCAAATGATACTGTGGGATAAGATACCTGCACTTCCTGGATTTTATAAGTAGATTGTTAAAAGCAACTAAGACATTTGGTTTCTTTAAAGGTGATGACAACTCAGATTATCAACTCTATTCTTCTAAAACTCATTAGAGATAGAATATTGGACCATATCTGTGATCTGAAATGAAGTTTTTTCCTTATACAACAGCAGTTCTCCCTCCTTATATGATGTTTTTCTGTATACCATGGTTACCTCTTAAACTTTGTATGAATTCTAATGGTTGAAATTAAATATGTAGGTCAGGGATCTAACACTGTGCTTACATATAATAGATGCTTGATGCATGACTGGATGTATTATTATTTTTGTTCTCCCAAGATATCAGGATTGATTTTCAGCTGGTATGCACCAGTATGTATAAGAAGTTATGTACAGCCAGCATCCATTCTGTTTAAGGCTGGGTTGAATCTGATGGTTGGTTTTCTGGATCATATCAGCTTTTAAATACTTTCAATATAGTCCCTGCCCTGTTCCATTGGGGTAAAATCTGCTGAAGATTGCCCCAGATTCTGTTTGAGAAAGTATATACTGCACCTTTGCAGTCCTCTGTGATTTTTACCTGTGTGTGTGTGTGTGTGTGTGTGTGTGTGTGTGTGTGTGTGTGTGTGTGTGGTGTTTTTTAAAAATAGTTCTCAGTATCCAACTATGCTGGTTTGGGTAGCTGAATTCATATTCAGTCTTTTGTTCTTCTCTTTCTAGTAAATTTTTGTTGACCATAGTATCTCCCCTTAATAAATAGGAGTTATAATACTTGCCATCTTATACATAGGAACAAATATAGCAGCTGTTAAAATTGGGATTTTAAAAGTTTTCAGTACTTATTTATAATTGCTTCTCCACTTATTGTTTTATCTTCCAGTATTATAAGCAGCTACAGAAAGACTATATCAGTGATGATCATGACAGAAGTATCTCTATAACTGCACTCTCAGTTCAGATGTTTACTGTTCCTACTTTGGTATGTATTGATTAGTCTTGGCAATCTTTCTAAGTAATATTTATTTTATTATTTAAGAATTCTGGTTAGTGTTGAATTGAATTAAAACAATTTCTGAGTCACTATGCTGGTCTGATTACACGTGGAAAATTGAATAATGCTTCAGTGGTATCTGCACGTGAAAATGCTTTAATGATACCCAAGGGCTAGGTAATTTGTGGAGTGGGAGTGATGGCACTACCTTGGTCCAAAAGTGCTCATTCCTGCAGGTGAAACCTAGGGATGGTTTCTCAGTGTCTAGAGTAACTTAGGAACAGTACCTTTTTAATACCAAAATATTTTTGTGTGTGCTATTCTCTTGTTCTTTAGGTTTTTTTTTTTATCATTGTTGTTAGGGGTGGGGGAATAGAGTAAGATGAAACAAAACAGGAGGAGAGTATAACTGTTGAGCATTTGCATGAGATGGAGCTGCATAGGCCTGGGAGGAGGAGGGTGGAGGATTCTGCTTCCTTTTTATCCTACTACTTTTCCTGTTTCTTCTGGAAAGTTCCTACTTTCTCTTTTCAAAGGCCAGAGAAAAGAATGGGGAAGAGAAATTGGATTGCGATTAAGGGGGAGATGTCAGAATAGAAAATATATATGACAGAAGCCTGAAGTATATCTGTTTGTTCTACTTTGCTCACCGTGTGATTAACAGTGGTAAACATTCATGTAAATGAATGTTACACAGGTACTGTGTAACCTGTGTAATGGGCTTGGGGTGTTCAGACAGGTGTTTTCTAGTTGCTGAGGAGTAGGGAATTTTTACTTTGAGAAAATAATTTCTCAGAAATTGCTATCCTGTGAGACTAAGGAGTGTGTTTGATGCTCAACAAACATTTATTCAGAATGATTTACCAACCGAATGAATAAGTAAAGTCCATACTATAATGAGTTAATACTAAAGACAATATTCTTCACATGTTCTGCAGGCTCGACATCTTATTGAAGAGCAAAATGTTATCTCTGTCATCACTGAAACTCTGCTGGAAGTTTTGCCTGAGTACTTGGATAGGAACAATAAATTCAACTTCCAGGGTTACAGCCAGGACAAATTGGGAAGAGTATATGCAGTAATATGTGATCTAAAGTAAGTTGTTCGAGTAAAAAGGTGAGGGTACCTGTTAAACACAGTTGTGTTTATTCTGTCCTATATATAAACATCTGATCCTTTTGGTTATCTTGGAATCTTTATAATGATGGCAAGGACAAAGAACTGTTACTGTGATATCAATAAATGTTTTAAGGGAAGGCTTCTTATAGAGTTAAAATCAGGTCAGTAAAGAAGGTACTGAGGAAGGGCCTCTCACAGGAACTTAGGGTCTCTTGGGGTCACCAAATGAATCTTCATCATGGTTACCATGCCTTCCACTCACTTCCACTCATGTATTTTGTTTCTGCCCCTCTTGCATAGTCTCTTTGTGCTTAGTTTCAGATGATCTTGTTGATGTGAACTTTTTTAACTCCCTTTTTCATACATATGACCAAGTATTCATCAGGGGTTTCTTAAGTTTTTCTCCCTGAAGAGAATGAAGTTTTCTTTTAAACTAAAGTTGGAATCATGATAGATCACATTTGGGATCATTGAACCTAAAAGGAAATAAATTTCTAATTTTTTTAGAAATAGATGGTGACTACTATAAGGATTATGCTGTATAAAGTATTCAGTAAATCATAAACTTAAACAATTATTTTAAGAATATATTAAGACAGGGCTTCCCTGGTGGCGCAGTGGTTGAGAGTCCGCCTGCCGATGCAGGGGACACAGGTTCGTGCCCCGGTCCGGGAAGATCCCACATGCCGCCGCGGAGCGGCTGGGCCCGTGAGCCATGGCCGCTGAGCCTGCGTGTCCGGAGCCTGTGCTCCGCAACGGGAGAGGCCACAACAGTGAGAGGCCCTGTTCAAAAAAAAAAAAAAAAAAAAAAAAAGAATATATTAAGACAAAATATGTTTCATTTAGTTCACTATTAAAAATAGAGCTCTAAGATATATATGATTACTTACTCTAGTCCCTACATGAATAGAATCATTCTAATTTCGTCCACTTCTTCTAGTGACCATGTAAAGTATAGAGAGCTGGAAACAAGTTTCTAAACCAACCTAGAAATAGTTTAGTTAGAAAAATACATTTGACAGATTTCTGGAACTATGCATTGGATCCTTGATATTACTCAGAAAAATGTTTCCAGACCCTTTCAAATTCTGCAATTTCTAAACATGATTATGACATGTAATTCTTTCTTTGAAGTTCAGTAAATCGTTATGTTATCATATCTTCAGTACAAGTTGAGATGGTGATGAGTTCAGTAGTGAATTACCATTTAGCCAGTGTGATTCACAAATTATGCATAATTTACAATATGCAAAACAAACAAAAAATATACAAAAACTCCAAATGGCAGTACTTAAAGTTTAGTGTTAAATCAGTGTATTTATCATTCCTTTGGTCTACTGTATAGGAAAAATCTTTCTGTGGTTCTCATTACTCTGAAGTATTCTTATAACAGAGTTATTTTTCTATCCAGAGAAGTGCATAATCACATCATTGTTTTGTCATATTTTATTTTGTGGATCTCTGACTATAATTATTATCTGTGGTAAATAGTTTAGAGTTAATGCATCCCTAGATACTTACCCCTATGGTAAAACTTTAGGGTCCCTGGTTGGGAATGTAATTTTAAAGTTTTCCCACTCTTCTGATGCTCACAACTTCTCTCCTACATCCTTACATAAGTAAAGATATCTCTAATGACAAGGAGAAGGGAAAATTAATGTCTTTTGAGGACCTGATTAGCAGATATTGTGTTAGACTTCTCGTGTAATTCACTCTCACAAGGGTCCTGTGTTATTTAGTAGTAACTGCTATGTGCTAAGAAGCTTTACTTATTTTACTTCATTTTATTCTTGCAACATTCTCATAAGGTAGGTGATATCTTTATTTGTAGATTATAATTATTTGCCTAAGGTCACAAAACTAGTAAGTGGCAGAATTTGGATTTGAGCCTAATGCTGTTTATCTGTAATACTCCTGTTCCTTTCACTACATTATGTAGCTTCACAGACTACATAAACAACAACAAAGCCTTCTCTGAAACCTGGCCTAAAACACCAATCAGATATACCCTTCATTTAACAAATAATTACTGAGCCCTATTTCTCAGTCTCTCATTGTAGAAATTTTGTAGTCATTCTTATTATTTCCCCATATACTTACTCATTCACCACTTCTTCCTGAAGCCCTGTGCTTTTAAATCAGTTAGAAATAACCTCAAATACTTAATGCCTTTTAACTGTTTCTAGAATAAAGTACAGATTCTTCCAGAATTTGTAGCTCTTCATAGTCTCACTTTATATATTACTTATCTGACTGTACCTCAGCATGAAATAAGTTTATTGGTCCTAGCAGAAGCTCTGTTCAGCCTGTCTCAGGAAATTTTCATTCTCTCAAAGCAGTGCATTCTAACCATTGAGTAGCCCCTTCCAACTTTTAGAAAGTTTATTTTATATTGAACTCTGTCTTTTTGTAGCTTTCATTATGTGGCTCTAGCTCACCCTTTGTCCATTCAGAACAACTCAATGCTCATTTAACTTGACATATTTGAAGACAGCAGGCATATCTGACAACTCTTTTTTATGTTAAGTTGCATCATTTTCTTTAAATATACCCATTTCATATTTAAAATTCCTTCTACATTATTGTCCTTCGCTACTGAACCTGTTTTAGTTGACTGTATACCACTTAAGGTATATGCCAAGAAATGAACACAGTACTCTGAGGTCTGTGTAGTAGAAGGAAGGGATTATTACCTCTCTCATTCTAAATAAATACACCTGTATTAATTTAGTTTCTTTGTCACTCACTCTATGGAAGGTATCTGTTGGGGTACTATGGAAATGAAACTTAGAAAAGAGATGCAGTTGAACCTTGGTTCTGTTAAGTGAATATTGTCCTTTTATTACTCTAACTTGTTCCTTCCTTTTTCTGAAAAGTATAGCATATTCTCAATGCAGGTCACCCTCTTCCTCTCCTGCTCTGTCCCACCTTCTCCTTCCACTGTTTTTACCACCTATTTTTATCTGCAGACTGCTTTTATTTTCCTTTCCTTCCTTACTCTTTCCTTTCTTCCTATCTCTTACATCTTCTTTACTTCCTAGGTCTCCTACAGGGGTCAGGCATGAACTATGTGAAACTAGAAATGTAAATTTTCTTCTCTAGATCAGTGCTTCTCAAATATTAATATGAATGCAAATCTTTATGGGAGCTTGTTAAAATGCAGATTATTACTCAGTAGGTTCTGCATTTCTAAAGATTCAGTTGATGCTGATGTTTCTGGTTTGTGAACCAGCCTTTTGAGTAGCAGTGCTCTAGAAAACAGCCAAACTTCGATGCCGTTTGTTCATTGTGGTAGAGTTTAAACTTTAGTCTTTGTTACTTTAAAAGAAAGATTTAGAATGTAATTAGTATATTTCAAAGTTATTTCTTTGATAAAGTCCTGATGATGGTTTTTTTTTTTTTTTTTTTTTTGCGGTACGTGGGCCTCTTTGTAGCCTCTCCTGTTGCGGAGCACAGGCTCCGGACGCACAGGCTCAGCGGCCATGGCTCACTGGCCCAGCCGCTCCACGGCATGTGGGATCCTCCCGGACCGGGGCACGAACCTGTGTCCCCTGCATTGGCAGGCGGACTCTCAACCACTGCACCACCAGGGAAGCCCCTGATGATTGTATTTTTAACTTTCAACATATTAATGGATATTTAAAGAAAGGGAAAATTAAACCACAATCCTTACTATCTTTACGAATAAAACTAATTTTTCCTCCATCTTTTTACCATGTCTTTTATGTTCAGCATTACTTCCTTTGTGCCCTTTTTTTGGGAGCTTAACATTGGATTACAGTGTCCGGTATACATATCTGTTTTCCCATCTGCACTTTGAACCTCAAGCGTAGGTTGTCTGGTTCATGTTTATGTTCCTGATACCTGGTGTGTAATAGGAATTGATTTGGGTTGACTGAGTGCAAAATAATTTTTAATAATTGTTAATGATTCCTTCCTGAGAAGTTATTTTGTGATAAATCATGTTCCCACTGGATATGAAAACAGTCATTGTCTTTACAGCCAAAAGAAGTATTGGTCTTGTAAATTATAGGCTAAAATGGGTCTGTTTATCTCATGAAACAAATACATTCTGATATGTAAGCCACGATGACATAGGTGCTTATATCCTTCTTCTGGGTTCTGGGCGAAGAAAGCCTGGAGGTAGGAAGTCTGTTCCAAATTTCCTGACCCACCAGCAGTAGTATATCTATGGTACTGAAATCAGGTAGCAGGAATGAATGGCTCTGGGAACCAGTGCAGAATAGTCACACAAAGTTGTACAAATCTTTAGTCATTACATACTGAGCAGCAGTAACAAAGGTATTGAATCCTCAGGCCAAACTACTATAATTCTCATGACTGTATGCTTTAGGGGAAAAAGTGTGTCATTTTAATGCACAAAAATATTTTACAACTTACAAAATATTCTGAAATAGTTTGCACAAACAGCATACATCATGCACATGTAGTTTTGACATGCATTTTGAGGCTGAAGGGATTTCAACTGGTCCTTTGGGTGAAGGGTATGAACAGTTCTAGGAAATTTGTACTGTGGTTGTCCAGCTGTGACAGGCTAGATTCACTTAATCAGACTAACTTTTTTTTTTTTTTTTTTTCTTGCGTTATGCGGGCCTCTCACTGTTGTGGCCTCTCCCATTTGCGGAGCACAGGCTCCGGACGCGCAGGCTCAGTGGCCATGGCTCACGGGCCCAGCCGCTCCGCGGCATGTGGGATCTTCCCGAAACGGGGCACGAACCCGCGTCTCCTGCATCGGCAGGCGGACTCTCAAGCACTGCGCCACCAGGGAAGCCCCAGACTAACTTTTGAGTGGAGAAGTCAGGCTTAGCTTTGACATCTGCCTCTCATAGGTAGAGCATTCACATTTTGCTGGTGTAATTCTAGCACTGCCTAGAGTTGTAAGAAATTAGAATTCATAATTTTGATGAATCAACATTATCTATAGCCCTGAGAACCTTAAAATTATTCCAAAATAGGAAAGTGAAATGTTTCTTTGTCTCTTGAAATGATAGGTATATCCTGATCAGCAAGCCTGCAGTGTGGACGGAAAGATTAAGAATGCAGTTCCTTGAAGGCTTTAGATCTTTTTTGAAGATTCTTACCTGTATGCAGGTATGATAGTTCTTCTGTACATCAGTAAGATAAATTTATTTTAAAAAATTTAACCCCAATCTTTAATGTTTTGTTTTGTTTTGAGCAAATTATGTTTTTTATTTGAGGAAGGATAAATCTAGCAAAATAGAAGTAAAATTTAAACATTGCCTCACTGATTCTGCTTTAATAGATCTTTCTGAATAGCTTAGTTAACTGCAGTTGTTACTATTAATGTTTACTGATGCTTACTATGTGATAACTGTAGTAAGCACTTTCATGCATTCTTTCTTTTGAGCCTCATAGCAATTTTATGAGGTAGTTACTATTATTATCCCCCTTTTACATATAAGGGAATCATAGCTTAGAAATAATTTGACCAGGGTCATACAGCTAGAAAAGTGACAGAGTTATGATTTGAACCCGTGCGTTCTGACTTAGTGTAACAGCTATGTTAAAAAACTACACATACATGAATATAAATCCTGATGATTTTATATTTTGCCAGTGAAAGAGCAAAGAAAGAGGGCCCATATGTATATGTTAACCACTCTTTTCTTGTAGGGAATGGAAGAAATCAGAAGACAGGTTGGGCAACACATAGAAGTGGATCCTGACTGGGAGGCTGCCATTGCTATACAGATGCAATTGAAGAATATTTTACTAATGTTCCAAGAGTGGTGCGCTTGTGATGTAAGTAAAATTTGTTAGAAGGATCCGTGCCTTTTTAAGTGTTCTGATTGTTATTAATAGTATAGTTTTATGTTGCAACTTCCTTGATGTAAAGTTTTATTACTTACATAGTTTCTTATATGTTTGAATTATCTTATTAAATTTGTAGTTTTTTACACTTAATTAGAAAATGTGCTCCATGGCATTCCATTTACCTTTGGGAATAGTGGAGTTTAAAAAATACAGCACACACTAATCAATTAATAAATTAATTATTGATAAATTTATTTGCTTGGACATGAATATTAATAATAAAATTAGGACTAGACTTTTAAATATTCCAGCAGTGGGGGGGTGTAAATATTTATTCAATCAAGAGCCTTTTTATGTGAGTTAAACCATTAAGAAAATTAATTTTAGTTATTTATTTTTTAATTAATTATTTTTGGCTGCGTTGGGTCTTCGTTGCTGTGTACGGGCTTTCTCTAGTTGCGGCGAGCGGGGGCTACTCTTCGTTGCAGTGTGCGGGCTTCTCATTGCAGTGGCTTCTCTTGTTGCAGAGCACAGGCTTTAGGTGCGTGGGCTTCAGTAGTTGTGGCATGCAGGCTCAGTAGTTGTGGCTCTCAGGGTCTAGAGCTCAGGCTCAGTAGTTGTGGCGCTTGGGCTTAGTTGCTCCACAGCTTGTGGGATCTTCCTGGAGCAGGGCTCGAACCCACATCCGCTTCATTGGCAGGCAGATTCTTTTTTTAAATAAATTTATTTATTTATTTTTGGCTGTGTTGGGTCTTCGTTTCTGTGCGAGGGCTTTCTCTAGTTGCAGCGAGCGGGGGCCACTCTTCATCGTGGTGCGCGGGCCTCTCACTCTCATGGCCTTTCTTGTTGCAGAGGACAGGCTCCAGATGCGCAGGCTCAGTAGTTGTGGCTCACGGGCCCAGTTGCTCCGCGGCATGTGGGATCTTCCCAGACCAAGGCTCGAACCCATGTCCCCTGCATTGGCAGGCAGACTCTCAACCACTGCACCACCAGGGAAGCTCCTAGCAGGCAGATTTTTAACGACTGTTCCACCAGGGAAGTCCAAGAAAATTAATTTTAAAATATAGAACTAATGTTTTTCCTTAAGCAATAATTTTATTTTATTTATTTATTTTAAAAAATATTTATTTTATTTTTGGCTGCGTTGGGTCTTAGTTGCGGCACATGGTATCTTCGTTGTGGTATGTGGGATCCTCTGCTGTGGCATGTGTCCTCCTCGTTGCAGTGTGTGGTCTTCTCTAGTTGTGGCCTGCATGCTCAGTAGTTGCGGCATGCGGGCTTAGTTGCCCCATGGCATGTGGGATCTTAGTTCACCAACCAGGGATTGAACCCATGTCCCCTGCATTGGAAGGCTGATTCTTAACCACTGGACCACCAGCGAAGTCCCTCCTTAAGCAATAATTTTAGACCATAATGCTCTTTAAACACAGAATCCTACTCCAGACTCCCTTTTGAGAAGATGACCTCATTTATTTCTGTTCTGAGAAAATTAACATTATCTAAGTCAAATTCTTTCATCTTCTCCAGTTTCTCTGTACATCTCACTGTAGTCAATTCACTAAGTTTCTGTATATATCTTCACTATTGGTCTCTTTCATTTTCCTCTTTCTAAAAGTGATGTCTCTACCTAGGCTCTTGGTCCCAACCTATATTTCTTCTTCCTGGAGTTTGCTTCCTCAGTTGTCTCCTCTGGTATTTCCCACTCTTTCATTCATCTGCCTGTAAACACACAGGACTCTCCTATTCTTAAGAACAATGAGAATAAAAGCCCCCTTACTTGTCATTGCTCCCTCATGAACTGTATATTATCTCTCTTTTTTCCTCATCTGCTCCACCACCAGCCATTGGTCATGGGTTTAGAGTGGCGGTCACGCTCGGAGACACCATAGACTTTAATCTAGCACAGCAGCTGTATAGAACAATAAGGACAGGAAATATTGTCCAGCAACTACCACAGCACATATTTTTTTGGCTCCCCTCATCTTTATGAAGGGCATGCTTAATTGTTGGAGACGAGGTCAAAGTGTGTGGTGTTCATGTTGACATCTGCAAAACCTCCTGAAGTCATCTACATTTACTGTCGCCACTCTTTAGCTTCTAAAACTTCTTCAGAGCCAGGCTTCTGCCCTTACCAATTGATAGGAACTGCTTTTTGAAAAACTTTCAAAGGATCTATTCAGTAACCAAATTCAGAGGTCTTTTCTAAGTCCCCCATCTTCCTTAAATGTCTGTAACATTGTATTCTTTTGAGAACCTTAATCGTTTTGAAACTCTTTCC